ACCTTACATCTTCTTTCAACAAGGCTCCTGAAGATGTTGAGTGTAATTTGTTAATATCTGAGGGCCTGATTGGTCATAAGAGTGGTAAGCAGCACTTAATGGATTGGAGGGTGCACCACAGGGTGAATTTCCTACATGAGCCACTTCTTGGTGACTTAGCTTTCCATGCTGTGAAATGGGAAGAAATGGAAAAATTGCCTTTGCTAAGGGATCTGTGGAGAATTTCCATTTTTGCTCAAAGAAAACCAGAGGAAAAGTCCCCTCGAGAATGAGGTGTGCCCTCAGTCTCCAGCTCCTTCTCTCCATTCCCATTTTCTCCCCCGTTTTGTAAAGCTTCCTGGCAAGTCACCCTGGTTTACACCTGTAATCCCAGCCCTCTGGGAAGCCAAGGTGGGAGGATCCCTTGAGGATGGGAGTTGGAGATCAGCCTGGGCAACACAGTGAGATTCCATCTCTAAAAAACAAACAAAGGCTGGGTGTGTCGCTCACACCTCTAATCCTAGCCCTTTGGGAGGTCGAGGTGGGCGGATCACGAGGTCAGGAGTACAAAATCAGACTGGCCAACATAGTGAAACCTCATCTCTACTAAAAATACAAAAATTAGCCAGGCATGATGGCACGTGCCTGGAGTCCCAGCTACTCCAGAGGCTGAGGCAAGAGAATCACTTGAACTTGGGAGGTGGAGGTTGCAGTGAGTCGAGATGGCACCACTGTGCTCCAGCTTGGGTGATAGAGCAAGACTCTTTCTCAAAAAACAAACAAACAGAAATAAATAAATAAAATGCTTTCTATATCTTGGTCAGATGATCTAGTGGCCCTGTACTCCCTCAAATTGTCACCAGTCTCCTTGTCACCAATCTCCCTTCCCTGTGTCCTTCAAGATCTTATTCTTTTCAAACAAAATATTGCCCGTGATTTGAGATTTTCATTCTAGACTGCAATAGAAGGCGTCTGTATTACATTCAGAGCATTTTAAAAATAGGAGTGTCTCAGAAAGATTAAATGAGAGTTCATTTTTGAACTGTGGTTGGTGAGTCCTTAGGCACATCCATACAATACTTTCAAAAGACAGTTGTCGGTTTTTATGAATTTTAATTGGGAAATCCAGGGTAATGGTTCTGCTTCATTAGCCCCTCACTACCACTCAGATGTCCTGTGTACACTTGGCCCTTAGCAGCTCAAAGTACTTAGTGGAACGTATTTCGTCTTTTCATATCCCTTCAAGGGTGGCAGTGAGCAGGACGGGACTGCTGGGCAAGGAGGAGAACATGATCTGCTGGGTGATAGGAAAGCCTTGGGCAGAGGTGGGCAGCTGCAGTTCTGGGGGGTGAGGCAGTTGAGGATCCAGGACAGCTGCCCAGCTGGGTCATCGAACTCAGCCCCTGTGAAGGTCCTCCTTTGTCTTCCAGTGGCTCCTTCTTATCCTTTGACTATATTCCAGCCCCAGTGGGGCCCTCAAGGTAGACTCCTAAGGGGGATCCTGCTCTTAGCTACCACTGCTGTCTTCATTAACTGCTCTTCCAGGCTCAGGCTGTACCCATGCTGAACCACACACAGTTCCCTTTCCCGCTGTCCACTCCTGAAATGTTCTGTGCCATGTGCCCCTCTTCCTCCTCATCTTTGCCTGGCTAAGGAGCTTACTTCCTCTGGAAGCATCTTCCCTGGCGCTGCACGTCCGGGGTAGGTGCCCCCTTGGACCCTGGTCCTCTCAAATGTCAATGGCTGTTGACTTGCCTGCACCCCCACTAGACTGTGGCAGCTTCCTAGGGATTGGGGATAAGTCATCTCTAACTGTATTGCCTCCAGCTCTAAGCACAGGGCTCATCATAGATCAGGCATTTGTCAGTGTTAGCTGTGGCAAGTTAAGCTCCAAGTAAAGGAAAATGAACTGGTGGAGGAGGCTGACTGGAATACCCTGTTCTGGGGTCTTGTGCCTCCCTTGGGACTCTCTGCATACTGCCACCTGCTCTTAGCTACCACTGCTGTCTTCATTAACTGCTCTTCCAGGCTCAGGCTGTACCTGAGCTCTTAGCTACCACTGCTGTCTTCATTAACTGCTCTTCCAGGCTCAGGCTGTACCCATGCTGCCGGCCAGCACACACTGATTGTTCACTGGCCCTAGACTAGACTTAGGGCAGGAGGTAGGGAAGCAGGAATGACATTGAATGCTTGCTAACCATCCTCAGGGTGTTGAGTTGAGAAAACCAGATGAACTGTGTGCATAGTGAACCTTGAGAATGAGAAGGAATATAGCATGACTTCTGAGGGCTAGTGTGGTGTGTACACCAGCTGCAGTGGCATCTCCTGGGCCCTGCTTAGAAATGCAGCACATCCGACCCTACCAGACCTCCTGTATCAGAAACTGTTTTAACAAGACCCCAGGGGAGGTGCAGGTATGCTGGAGTCTGAGAGGCACTGGTTTAAGTGCAGCAGTGAGCACTGGTCATGGGCTGCAGTAATTGGAGAAGGCTGCGTTGGCAAGGGAGCAGCTGAGCACTCTCGGGTCCTGGGAGGGCAATACCCTCGGTGGGTGAAGGAGGAGAGTATTTGAGGCTGGGAGAGTGTGGAGCCAGGAGAGGACCGGTCTTCTTGCTAGTGATGAATTTTGGCAGAGCAACGGGATCCATCTTCTAAAGGATCTCATTTGGCAACATTCATGTCACATGTTCAAAGGTTACCAAATCAGATACCAAAACTGAACACATCATTTTCATCACGCAGAGGTAGATTCTATGTTCTCCCTTAGTGGCAGCAAAGGTAGTGGAAAGCAGCAGGTAGGGAGTCCATACCCAGGTCTGATTGTGGATTTACTGATAACAAAGCTGTGGGGTCCTGACCAAGCTGCTTTACAAAATGATAATTTTATTCATTTATGATTTTGTGGGTCAAGACAAAAGCCATGGGCACAGCTCTGGTAGGCAGTTCTACTCTGGGTAGCATTAGCAGGGGTCACTTAGCTGGTGGCAGCCCTGGGTTGGGCTGGAAGGTCCAATGAGGAGGCTTTCTTCATATCTGGCTCCTCCATGCTCCCCCATGTGGCCTTTGGCTGTCCACATGGCTAGCTTGGGCTTCCTTACAGCATGGTGGCCTCAGACTTCCTATGCGGCAGCTGGCTTACAAGAGGGAAGAAGTGGAAGCTGCGAGGTCTTTTAAGACCTGGAACTGACACATCTTCATTACATTCTATTGATCCCAGATTCAAGGGGAGGAACAACAGTCTGTATCTCTTTTTTTTTTTTTTAGATGGAGTTTTGCTGTTGTTACCCAGAGTGGAGTGTAATGGCACGATCTCGGCTCACCGCAACCTCCGCCTCCTGGGTTCAAGCAATTCTCCTGCCTCAGCCTCTTGAGTAGCTGGGACTACAGGTGCGCACCACCATGCCCAGCTAATTTTTGTATTTTTAGTAGAGACGGGGTTTCACCTTGTTGACCAGGATGGTCTCGATCTCTTGACCTCGTGATCCACCCGCCTCAGCCTCCCAAAGTGCTGGGATTATAGGTGTGAGCCACCGCGCCTGGCTTACAGTCTGTATCTCTTAATGGATGGAGCAGGATGCAGGCACAAGGAGGACAGAATTGACTATGGCTCTCTTTGGGGACTGTCTATAATGTCACATACCAGGCTCCATGATGTCATCAGGACCCAGACTCCTCTCTGCTCCTCCATCCTCAGCACACACTTCCATCTCATGGTCCGAAGTGGCTGTTGGTGCTCTAGCCAGCAAGAAGCAGCGAAGGAGGAGGAGGGCACCGTTTGCTCCCCTTCAAGGAGATTTCTGTTTCATTGTCCAGGGAGTCCACGGCCATGCTGTCTTAGTCCATTTTGCCTTGTCATAAGGAATACGTCGGAATGGCTAATTTATAGAGAAAAGGTTTATGGCTCATGGTTCTGCAGGTTGTACAAGAAGCATAGCACTGGTGTCTTCTGGTGAGGCCCTCAGGAAGCTTCCACTCATAGCAGAAGGTGGAGGGGGAACAGGTGTGTCATATGGTGAAGGAGGAAGCAAGAGAGAGGGGAGGAAGTGCCAGGCTCTTTTAAACAGCCAGCTCTTCCATGAACTGATGAGCATAAGAACTTGCTCTTTACTACTGGCACAGGCCATTCATAAGGGATCTGCCCCCATGACCTCCCACCAGGCCCCACCTCCAACACTGGGGATCACATTTCAACATGGGATCTGGAGGGGCCTAACATCCCTGCCCATCACATGCCTGTAGGATGCAGTAAGACAGTGTGCCCAGCTAGAAGTCGGAGGTCTGTTCTTTTTTTTTTTTTTTTTTTTAGACGGAGTTTCGCTCTCGTTACCCAGGCTGGAGTGCAATGGCGCGATCTCGGTTCACCGCAACCTCCGCCTCCTGGGTTTAGGCAATTCTCCTGCCTCAGCCTCCTGAGTAGCTGGGATTACAGGCACATGCCACCGTGCCCAGCTAATTTTTTGTATTTTTAGTAGAGACGGGGTTTCACCATGTTGACCAGGATGGTCTCGTGTCTAAGAAAGAAGGGCAGAATGAAAAGTGGGAGAACTGACCGGGCGTGGTGGCTCACGCCTGTAATACCTGCGCTTTGGGAGGCTGAGGCAGATGGATCACTTGAGGTCAGGAATTCGAGACCAGCCTGGACAACATGGTGAAACCCTGTCTCTACTAAAAATACAGAAATTAGCTGGGCATGGTAGCGCGCGCCTGTAGTCCCAGCTACTCAGGAGGCTGAGGCAGAAGAATCACTTGAACCCAGGAGGTGGAAGTTGCAGTGAGCTGAGACTGAGCCACTGCACTCCAGCCTGGGCAACAAAGTGAGACTCCATCTCAAAAAAAAAAAAAAAGTGAAAGGAAATGCCAGTTATTTCACCTTCCCCAAAGCCAAAACCTGCTCGAAATTTTTAGGAGGCAGAAGCTGCAGACAGGGCAAGCCTCAAGACACAGGGAAGTGGGTCTCCCGAGTGAGCGCGCTGGCTGTGCCTGCCTGTCAGCGGATCCTCACGGCCTCTCTCTGCCCCCAGTTCACCACAGGCACCTGCAGCGACTCGGTGGTTCACAGCTGCAACCTGTGTGGCAAGGGCTTCCGCCTGCAGCGCATGCTCAACCGTCACCTCAAGTGCCACAACCAGGTGAAGAGACACCTGTGCGCCTTCTGCGGCAAGGGCTTCAATGACACCTTCGACCTGAAGAGGCATGTCCGCACGCACACAGGTGAGCGTGGAGCGCGTGCTTTGTCCTCTGTTTTGTTATTCTGGCCAAGAGCTCCTGTTTCTTTCCCACCAGAGAACCAGGTCAAGAGCATGGAACGATGTTGTGTTTCTAGAAAGATCACAAGATGTGGATCACAAGGTCAGGAGTTTAAGACCAGCCTGGCCAACATAGTGAAACTCTACTAAAAATAACAAAAAAATTAGCTGGGCGTGGTGGTGGGCGCCTGTAATCCAAGCTACTCAGGAGGCTGAGGCAGGAGAATCACTTGAACCTGGGAGCCAGAGGTTGCAGTGAGCCAAGATCACACCACTGCACTCCAGCCCGGGTGACAGTACAATGCTCTGTCTCGAAAGAAAGAAAGAAAGATCACAAGATGATGGGGCGTTGGGGCCAGCCCTTCTGGGTTCACCTCCTAACTCTGCCACATGCCAGCTGTGTCACCTTGGGCTGGGTGAGCCACCTTTGGTAGCCTGCCTTTCCCCCTGTAAAATGGAGATACTGATGTGAGTTCTAGCAAGGCTCAAAACGAATCTCTGGCTGGAAGTATTCTGATAATCATGATGCATGATACACACATGGGGGCTGCCATAGCTCAGCCCCTTGGTCCTGGCTAATGGAAGGTGGTTCTTGTGGTCCCACAGTGAGTATCTGATGCTTCTCTCTTAGGACATAAGCCTGTCTCTGAATAGCATCATATTCCTTCTGAGAGACAAAAAGCCTTTAGAGCTGACCTGAGCCTCCCACTGGGGCCTGGTGGGTGAGCATCTGGCTCTCCTTGGACTTGCCTCAGTTTCCTGAGAAAGTGGAAATCCAGGTTCTCCTCAGTTCCAGTTCTTCACAGAGTCCTGGGGGTGCCCTTGGCCTCTGGTCTCGGCCTCACTGCTTCTATCTTAGAAACACCTGGCCTCCACGCTTTCCTGCCTGAGCCCCATCATCCACACCTCTGCCAGAGGGATCTCTCCAGGAGAATTCTAAGGACTCTACTTCCCTGCTAAGAAATCTCCAGCTACGAAATCCAGACTCCTCATCTCTCATCTTGATGGGCTTTGTGTAAAGGCCTTTATAATGTGGGTCCCATCTTCAAATCCCCATCCTATTCTCAGCTCATCCGAGCCTGTCACCTCCAGTCCTGTCTCCTCCTATCACAGCCCACTTCAGATCAGCCCATCTCACTCCAATCCATTCAGCGCATCCTATCCCATCCCATCTTAACCCATTCAACCCTATCCGGCCTATCAGCCACCCTCCCAACAAACTTATAGAATTCGGCATCTACAGGCCAGGTGCAGTGGCTCATGCTCATAATCCTTGTACTTAGGGAGGCCAAGGTGGGAGGATTGCTTGAGGCCAGGAATTGGAGACCAGCCTGGGCAACATCAAAAGACCCTGTCTCCACAAGCAAATTTAAAATTAGCCAGGCATGGTGGTGCATGCCTATAGTTCTAGCTGCTTGGGAGACAGACTGAGCCTGGAGGATCGCTTGAACCTAAGAGTTTGAGGCTATGGTGAGCTATGATTGTGCCACTGCACTCCAGCCTGGGCAAGAGAGCAAGACCCTGTCTCAAGGGAAAAAAAAATGGTTTGCTATCTGCAGTCCTCGAACTCTTTCAGTCCTGGTATTTTGGTAGGGATGGGAACATGCTCTTTCCTCCCTCCAGATGGGGCTCCCAGCTACCCAGCCCCCATACAGGTTCCTTCTTAGGCCTCTGCATCCTATTTTCTAGTTCATATCATACTCAGTTGCTCTTAGAGAGCTGGCTGAGCTGCCTCCCTGGTCTGGAAAGAGTATCTGCCACCTTAGAGAGTGGCTGGCGTCCTAAAATAGTTCTTTTTCCTTTTTAAAAACTTCTTTTCTTTTTTTTTTTTTTGAGACAGGGTCTTGCTCAGGCTGAGTACAGCCACTAACTCCTGGACTCAACTGATCCTCCCTCCTCAGCCCCCCAGTAGCTGGGACTATAGGGGCATGCCACCACTCCCAGCTATTTTCTTTTTTTTTTTGTATTTTTTATAGAGATGGGATATCGTCATGTTGCCTAGACTGGTCTCGAACTCCTGGGCTCAAGCAATCCACCTGCCTTGGCCTCCCAAAATGCTGGGATTATAGGTGTGAGCCACTGCACCTGGCCAAAAACTTTTTCTAAAGAGAACTTTTCATTTCAGTGTGACATACATCCAGAAAAGTGCACAGATCCTAAGTGCCGACCTCAACCAATAGGAAGCTTTACAAAATGAACACACCCATGCAACTAGCAGTCAGGCTGAGAAACAGTATTTGCAGCCACTAGAAGTCACTACCCCTCCCAGTCTGCGTCCTTCTCTCCAAGGAAAACCACTGTTGCAAATTCTGACAGCTTAAGTTACTGTGGCCTGTTTTTGAGCTTATTGTAAATGGAATCCCACAGTGTCCTCTTAGGGCCTGGTTATATGGCTTCTTTTTTTTAATTCCTAGCACCAGTGAATCAGTAAAAGTTTGACCTCTGTGAGGCTAAGCTGGGCATGGGGTGGGGATGAGGAGAACGCTTAGGGGGTGGTGGCAGATCCATAGGGCAGTGGGGGGTCTTATAAGAGATCTGAGGGGAGGTCTCAAGGCTGTCAAGGGACCCATCCAGCAGCAGCAAAGCTGGGCTTTCCTCCTGACCCGGGGCAGCAAATCGGGACCACTCCTGAAGTCACTGGCCATTGGTGGCCCTGGAGGCTGTCTTAGCTCTTTATCTCTGAGGATGTCCTTGATGGCATTCCCTGCCTGGATGAAATCTGGTCACTCCCCACCCCTGGCTTCTAGAACACAGTGCAGGGGGCCTGGGGGGCATGGCTGGCTGTTGGTACCTTGGAGTAACCATGGAGCTGATGGCATTGCTTCACCTGTGATTGAATTAATTCTCCATTGCTGGAGACTAAGGGAAACCTTAGGGACTGGCAGCTTCTCAGAGAAGACTTTACAAGTTGAGGCGGTCACATACTAGTTAAGAACTCCTGATCTGAGTTAGCTGACTGTGAGACTTCATCTAAATTGTTCATCTTTCACCTTAGTTTTTCCAGCTCTAGAATGGGTGTGATGGTTTTAATACTTGCCACTTTAAGTGATGGTTGTGAGGTTTTCGGGCCAGCATTATATAAAAGTGCTTCTACATTGTAAGTGCTTAGTAAACATTAACTAGTATTGGTAGTAAAACTGCAACAGTTGGCAGAGGCTTCCTGAGGATCTGATGTGTAACAGGCCCTAGGATTCACCTTTGTGCTCATGGAGCTCTCAGCCAACAGGGGGAGAAGTAACTCAGACATCTGACTGTGAGATGAGTGAAACAGCAGATCTGCCAGGCAGAAGAAAAAGTGGCACATGCCAAAGGAAGTCCTAGGAGGTGCCTTGTTTCTAACTGCATGCCAGGGAGGCCCCTCAGCAAAGGTAGCCTTTCCGCTGGGCCTTGAAGGGTGAGCAGGGTCTCTGCAGCATGACAGAAGGAGGAAGGGCATTGCTGATGAGGAGAGTCTTAGTTTGAGTTGCCCAGGAAGCAGACCCTGGCACCATGATTTGGATGTGAGCAGGTACAATACGTTGGGGCAACCCAAACTGAGGAGACACAGTGGAGGAGGGAGGGGTAGCTGGAGGGAAGACAGCAATTAGAGCCCATCAATAATAAGCGGGTTACCACTGTGGGCAATGGGGGCTCAGTCCTGCTGGAGATCCTTTGAAGAACCATATAGAATGCACCCCAGGTTGCTCAGTCAGCCCCCATCCCTCCTGCTTGGGTGTCCATCCTGGACCTCCTGACTCCAAGTAGTTCTCCCACCCACTTCCTGCCCCAGCTCTTTGCAGGCCTGGAGAGCATCCTTAGGCAGAGAGATGCAGGAACCATCTGAGATGCCTGGGGTCTGCTGGGGGGATATGAGGGGGGCATCCGCCCTGGGAGGCAGAAGAGTTAGTGAGGAGGGTGGCTTGGCAGAGACAGAGAAACCCTTCAGAGAGTAACACGGCTCCTGCAGGCGGAAGCAGGAGCCCCACCTTAAGCAGATGAGGGAACCAGGCTCAGGGAGCTCACACAACCCATCAGTGGTGGAGCTGGGAACCAGAGCTGGCTGGCCCTGAGGCTCATGGTCTTTTGTCCTCTGTGGGGTCTCCTTCTCTGCTCTTTTTGCCTCCCAGCGCCTTCCTCAGCATTGTCCCTGAGGCAGGGGCCTCTCCAGCCCACCCCGCTGCAGTTTCTATCTAGAAGCCTGCTTGTTTCTAGAGGAGGGTGAGATCAAGGGAAACTCAGACCTATTGGTAGCACAAACTGCACACTCCAGCTTGGGGTTTAGTAGGTTGTAGAGGAGCCTGTGAACCTGTGACTTTAGTGGTGCACAAACTGTACACTCCAGCTTGGGGTTTAGTAGGTTGTAGAGGAGCCTGTGAACATGTGACTTTAGTGGTGTGAAGATGTCCTCTGCCCACAGAGGAAGCAAGAAAAAGGGCCACCTGTACCCCCCATGCCCCGGACTCCCAGCCTGAGGTTCCCAGATTTTCTCCATCCCCTACTGTTCTAGTCACTTCTGCAAGGGTGCTGAAAATAATTTAAATTCATGAATCAAAATACCTTCCACCTGATGCTTTTCCAAAGGGCTTCACGGTTATCGCCTTAGAGGAAAGACTAGGGCTTAGGAGGCAGCCAGGAGTGAAACACCTAGAGATGTGCTGGTTTGTCCGGCAGCTGCTGGCTGTGTGTGGCTCCTGAGTCCCAGAGGTGTGGCTGGTCCAGACTGAGATGTGTTGTATGTGCAAAACAGACACTAGATTTCAAGCTGAAATGCAAAAAAAAAAAGAAGGGAGTAAAAGAATCTCAATTTTTTTGTGTGTGTGACGGAGTTTCACTCTTGTTGCCCAGGCTGGAGTGCAATGGCTGGATCTCGGCTCACTGCAACCTCTGCCTCCTGGGTTCAAGTGATTCTCCTGCCTCACCCTCCCAAGTAGCTGGGACTACAGGCATGCGCCACCACACCTGGCTAGTTTTTGTATTTTTAGTAGA